ACCTGAATCCCACCAGCCTTTGCCCTCTGCCCCCGAAGTCTTGGTGTGTGTGTGATTGTATGTTGCACACACAGCCTCCCTCCCTCGCTCTCGCCCCTGTCAGGAGAAAGGTGTCAACAAAGCCCAGGGGGGAAGGGAGGATTCCTGCTTACTCACTCTGCAAAGGGAGCTGCAAAATGCTCGTCCTAGGCCGAGAGCTGCAAGTGTAATTTAGGTTTGATATTATGAAAGTCTCGCTGCTCTAAAACAGCGGGGCACTCGGTGCCTCATTAATAAAGGATAAACTCGGAGTCTATTTACAAGGCGCTTTTTGGGGTTATTTACTCTCCAATATACATATGTAATGCTGCACATACTTACCGATAGGTACTGCTCATCCTTCCAGCAGGGCCTCCCAGTCACCTGGGGAGGGGTCCCTGCGGGGTACAGAGGGCCACAGGAGGAAGGAGGACTGAGGAGCTACGCTCTGGGGCTCTTCTGAGGAAGGGGCTGTCAAAAGACAAGTCCCACCCTTATGGAAGCTCCTCAAGGCTGCCAGCCCCTGGGGCTCAGGCCAGGTGTCCAGAAGGAAAGGTACAGGCTCCTGGCACCCCCTCCCTGGCTACCAGGCCAGGTCCTGCATGCCCTCGGGACAAGCCCCCAGCAGGGCCCATAGCTGGCAAGGTGGCCTCAAGCTAGGGCTCTGTTTATCAGCTCTGGGCACCCACTGGCTTGGTCAGAGTGGGTTTAGCTCTTCAGTCTCCAAACCCTACTTTTTTTTTTTGGTTTGTTTTATTGGTCTTTCGTGAGGCAGTTTCACTATAGAGTTCAAGCTGGCCTTGAACTCACTTTGTAGCCCAGGCTGGCCTCAAATTTGTGGCAGTCCTCCTACCTCGGCCTTCTTCTGAGTGCTGGGATTACAGGCATGCACTACAGCACCCAGCTCCAAGCCTCCTTTCCCTAGGCCCTTCCTCCAGACATGGATCTGGGAAGCCTGTAGGTGGTGGGGCTGTGTCCCAACCCTATTTAAAAGGCAGAAAGGGGGCTGGGGATTCAGCTCAGTGGTGTAAGTGCCTGCTTGGCAAACATGAGGTCATGAGTTTGATCCCCGGTACCAAAATAAATAAATAAATAAATAAAATAAAATAAAATAAAATAAAAGACAGGAAGGGAGGTCAGGGAACTCATCCGGTGTCACACAGCCAGTACGTCCACACTGGGGTTCCGACCCAGATCAAAGTTCCTATGCTCAGAAGACCCCGCTGCCTACCCTGGCCCCTCTATCCCTACAGCCCAGGCCAGCACATGGCCTGCAGAAGGGACAGTGATGTCCTCACATGACTGACCCATTCACTCAGCCATGGCACCGCCTGCAGAATCAGGCCTGGGCTTGCAGCTAGGGTGGTTTTAGGAATGGGGAATAGAGGCCCCACTTTGGTCAGAGACCTTGGTGAGTTCGTGGGAGTGCGGATCACCCTATGCGTGTTCCCAGCTAAGACAGGAACGTGTGGCCCAAGGTGGTTAAGTAAAGCCCAGGTGAGGGTGTGAGGGACAGCCCTGTGCACGCAGATCTGGAGGAGGCGGGGCCTGGCTGGCGGGCTCTGGAGAGACATCTAGTGGTCAGGAGGAGAGCTGCAGCCTTTTAGTGGGGACCCTGGGCCGAGGCATAGGGTCATTGGTCCCTGGGAAGCCCACAGTGCGCTAGAGCTTCTGGCTGGCCAGGTCTCAGTGCCTGGGCCACTGTGGGAAGGGCGCTGCTTCCTGAGTACCCTTCCTGTCCCCGAAGGTGGGGAGAACTGACCTGGAGGAGCTGGACAGGAGGTCTGCGGCAAGCATGAGTCGACTCACCGCTATTGGTGAGCAATGCGCCAGCGCCGCCCTAGTTAAGGATGCAATCGCAGCCAACGTGGCCAAGGTGAAAAAGGCCGGAGCGTGAAAAAAGGCCGGTGGCAGGAAGGCCCTGTGTAGCTGGCAGCCAGGACACACTGCTCCCCTCACACCTCCTAACTTTGCCTCCAGAGAGGAAGGGGAGCTTGGGGCTGGTCTGGAGCAGGACTTGAGGGTACACCTCCCTGGAGTCCTTTCCAAGGCCTTCTGGGTGCATGCTGGAGTCTCGGCTGGGGGCAGAGGGCACCTCTGAGAGCTGTCTGGTCTGTCCCTTCTTGGCGCTCAGGGCACAAGGCTGCGACCTGGCCCCCTGGGAGGAGGGGGGGTGGGCTCCTTGGCTGGTAGCTCGCCCTTCAGCAGGGCAGACCCCAGCAGCCCTCACTTCCCAGTCCCTGCCTGAGCCCACAGCTTGGGCTGTGAACTTGTGGTCCCAGGCAGGCCTGGGTTTGGGACACTGTGTCCTTTCCTGAGAACACCAAGGCCTGTTTGACCTGGGAGCCTCAACCACGTTTACCCTGAGGGAACAAGAAACTGGGCACAGGGTCAGGGCACCCCAAGGCCAGCTGGAGCTGGGACTGTCCAAGGGCCGGGGCAGGAAGGCCTGCCCTGCCAGGAAGGTTGGTGACCTGGGCCCCTTGGCGCCTTCAGGTGTGGGCCAATCTGGGGGGAGAGGGGCTGGGTGGTGGAGGGGCGCCTGGGCAGGCAGGCGGAGGGCGGGAGGGAGGACACTGACAGCAGGACAAATGCTTGTAATTTTATAACCAATCTCAGTGCGTCCGTGGGGGGCCGTTTCCGCCTCCACTCAGGACCAATCAGCCTGACAGAGCTATGAGTCTGCCTGAGTGAGTGTGAGCAGCCCCCCCAACGCCACTTACTGCAATCTCATTACAGTCTGGCCACTGCGCAGTGGAGCTAGGGGCCACGGGGAAGGTGCCTCGGCCTGGGCAGAGCAGGGCCAGGCCCGCTCCCCAGCCGGAAGGGGCAGAATGGGCAGTGGCTCAGAGAGCGAGCACAGCCCCTACCCTCAGGGGACTTGGAACCTGCTTCCGGTGGCCGCACACATCACAGGGGACTGGCCTGCTGAAGGTGGGGATGGACGGGAGTGACCTGAGGACCAGAAAGAAGCAGACTCACGAGCCTGGACAAAGGCAGAGTCTTGGCATCAGGCTGGCACCGAGCAGGGTGACGGCTGCACCAGGGGAGTGCAGCACCACAGGGGTGGACGGCCAGCAGCCAGTGGTGGATATTTCAGGACAGCCTTGCCGGCTATCTAGCTCTGGGGATGGCTGTGTGTCCATTAGGTTCTCTAATTGTCAAAAATCTAATTTAGTGTCTGGAGCCCAGGCTGGCCTTGGTTAAATGGAGGGAGGCAGGCCCTGCCATAAATCTGCCCACCCAGCCCAGGCCGGTGCTAATTCTGCAGTTAAGTGAGGGATGAGGAGGGCCGTGGAGAGTTGTTGTTTTTGGTGACCCCGCCTGTCAGCCCCCACACGCCCCCAGGATTGCAGCAGTGACCTTGTCTTTGTACGTGCAAGGGAGCTGCCACTGGTCTCCTGCGAGCTCAGGGGCACCGAGCTAGAGGCCTGCGACTCCTCTGCCACCCACTCAGAGCCTGCAGGGGATAGGGCTGGCACGGGGAAGGGGGAGCGGGGACTCGGTGTGACCAAGTGACTGGTGCTTTGGCAGGTCCTGCTGACACCTGCAGTACCCGGGCAGGGGTGTGAGGGTGCCCTCCTGGGGCCCTGGGCCCCTCCTTGTGGTGCTCCTGTGGCCTTCGGTGATGGTGGGGGGCTCTGACCCGGCTTGGTAATGACCTGCTTTCCTCAGAGCTGCTAATTGAATGCAAGGGGTGTGGCAGGCGCAGCAGGAGAGGCTGGGGACTGCAGTTCCTAGGGGCTGTGCTTCCACGGGGAGGAAAGTTTCCAGTGTTGTCTCCATCACACCAGTCACCCACTCAGCCTCTCCTGCTGCTAACAAAGTGCCTTTAATTAGCAGCCTAATAAAACCCTCTTAATTGGCAAGAGCCAGTTAGACGGCAGAGAGGTCTCCTCCTCTTGGTCTTTGCTGAAGGCAGCTATAGGTTTAGGGGAGGGACCCAAGGCTCGAGCCTCTGGGCAGTGTCTAGCTGGCTGTCCCCTCCGTGCCAGGCTGGAGAAAGACCCAGGCACCTCAGTGTCAGGCTCCTTGGTCCTGTGCTCTGGAACCCAGCAGGAGCGGCTGGCGGCTGCGCAGTGCTCTGCTCTGACCTTTGGGGTGGGGCCTGCTGGGGAACTGACACCAAGGTGGTCTTTGAATCTTTGAGACAGGGTTTTGCTCTCTAGTTCAGGCTGGCCTTGAACTTATTATGTAGCCCAGGCAGGGCTCAATTCATGGTAACCCTTCTGTCTCTGCCTCCTGAGTGCTGGGATGACATGTGAGTATCACACCTGGCTGGACCTCTTTCTTGCTTCTCAGTTCCCTCACTGGCAAAAGGCTGGGTCTACCTAACGCTCTAATACTCCTCCAGCTCCAGTGCCAGGTAGACCCAGGGCTGGGCACTGCCAGAGCCAGACCCACAAAAACGGCCAGAAGTGTTCATATCAAACAGGGAGCCTGGGCAGCCAGAGCTGTCTCGGTCCAAGGTCTGAAGCCTGCGTGAGTCAGCTCCAAGGGCCCTGCTTACAGCACCACAGGAGGAGCAGGAAATGGAGAAGCCCCTCTGACCCTGGGCAGGAGGTGGCAGGGACTCCCCTGGGGACAGCAGTGTCTCTGCAGGTCCCTGGCCTGGGCTCTCTCCTGAGAGGCTCAAAGGCAAGAGAAAGGAGTGCGGGGAAAAGTGGCGTCCCCTCACCTACTGAGTGGCAGAGGAAACTTAAGACTGTGGGTTCAGGCTGGGCTGGGCTGACCGATTTGCAAATGGACATCACCATGACTTCACCTTGATCAACAGACACCATGTGCACCATGGGGAACCCAGGCTTAGTCACCTGGTCCATCCTGATCTCATGGTCAGCGTCCCAGGAGGATTCATCCACAGTGCACACGTACATTTGTACATCTGTGCAATGACTCATTCACGGAGAAAGTTACAGCCCTGTTCATGTTGGTTCAAAGAAACAGGCCACCTCAGGGAAAAACACAATTGGGAAATTGACTTTAATCATACATCTGTCATTTATTTTTTTCTGAAGTTAAAAAAATCTAAACATACTGGTACACTGACTACACATCACTGTCACATGATCACAGAAGTCAAAGCAGTCAGCACTCGGGGACAGACAGAACGGAGAGTGGCCCACGCAAGAGCTCCACAAACCCGCGCGCTGGCCTAGCCCCACTGCCAGGGCGCACGCTCTCTGGACATCCTGGCCCTGCTGCTTGGGCTTACGTAACCACTGATTTGGGAAGGCATTCGCTTTCTTGGGACCCATCTCTAACCGTCTAGCTGGTCTTTTTCTGCAGTGTCCAAGAGGAGGAAGGATCAGGAGAGCAAGTCACACACACACACACAGAGCCACAAGTACCCCAACCCACCCCAGCTAGGTGTTAAGAGAGCCAGCTGGGTGGTTCAGGGGGTCACTGCTTCCAGGAAATTTTAGTTTGTGGGTGCTCGACTTCTGACAGAAGGGAGTCTAGATGTCAGAGGAGTTTAGTTCTGTATGAAATGATCATGTTCCTTTGTTTTCTGTCTCCAAGGATTCTGGTGCCACAGATGGACTACGGATTAAAGAGAACCAGAAGCAAAGCTCAATTTGTTCCCCGAGACACTGGTGGGCCCTGCGACGTGAGTGCTGCAGTGGGCAGCATCACTGAAAGCTCCAGAAGGTTGCCTTTGCTGCCCTAAGAGTGGCTGAGCTGAGCCTGCACTTAAGAGGCTTGAACTGCCCAGCCTGGCCACACTGTGGGACCTCAGCAGAGGGGGACAAACCCAGCTGGCCGTCTGCGCACTCACCCAAGTGTGGAGGCAGTAGTGCAAGCTGGTCATGAGGTCAACTTGAGGTGACCATCACAGGGTGGGCATCTCCACACTCCACTTACTACCCGAAAGCACCTTGGATGACTCCAGAGGTAAGGTACAGCCTGACCTGCGGCCAGCCACTCTGGGCTGGGCTGTGTCTACCTCTGGGTTACAGGTATAAGGTGCAAGGAAGATGCTAACATCAATAATGCCAAGGAACCTAATCCAATTCTAGGGAAAAATAGACCTCATGATTGCCAATATTCACTTTCAACCCAACTCAGTTGTTTCCACACACAATCAAGTGTTAGGATGACCAGTGATGGCTTTTTCCTCCTCTGCCCACCCCCAAAACAAGTTTTGAGAGCCAGGCTTTATTACTTGTGAGTAAAGTCTCAGAGTTCGCTCTGCATGTGGGACAAGTGTCATCGGTCCCTCCAAATGCACACGCACTCTCACACTGCACTCAGAGAAAAGCTCGTGCTGTCAGCAGCCACAGAGCACAGCGCCTCTCTCCCATCTTCAAAGATAGGGTCCTTTCAGTGCAAGGGAATCTCAGGAAAAAGAGCTTCACACGTGGAGCTCTTTTCCTACTTCCTTTAACTGTGCCAGGATGTCTTTGTTTCTTTTCTTTCCACAAAGGTCAAATTTTCCATGTTTTAAAACCCCAGCTGGGATTTGTGATAATCAATTCCCACTGAAACCATGCAGAGATGGTAAGTGGGGTTCACCTTCTCTGGAAATGAACTCCTACTTACCTGATTATTCCTCCTACATGAACTGGTAAATGACCCCCAGAGATGAGCAAGGCGAGCGATTCAGTTTTCAGACCACTTAACTTCATTCCCATCTCCCTTGGGCAGCAGGGAGGACAGTGTCAGACGCTACCCTGCAGGCCCACCCCCGCCCCGTCAGACATGCTGGACTGGCATCTCCACTGTGCTCCTCCAGAGCACCCCAGACAAGGGCTGAGTCCCGGCCATGGGCACCCAACCGCCCCATATCTTGTTCCCCTTTGGTGGCACTCAGCACGTGCCAGGGTCTCACACCCGCCAGGAAGTACTCTGCTGCAGGCTGCACCCCGGCCTGCTCCCTCTCCACAGTAGCACACAGCAGAGGGCGAGGGAGGTACGGCTACTGGACAGTACTGCAACAGCGTGAACCCCACACCTCTACAGTGTCTGACCTGGGTGTCAGGGCCCGACAGCTCTTCATCTGCAGCACAACCTTTGACCTATCAAGGAGCCATCAATACACAACTCGATAGACCAGGAGGAGCCCTGGAGAAGCAAGGCTCTGCAGCATTTGGGAGCTGAGAAGGAATTACAACTCGAGACTGAAAGCGTAAAAGCAGCTGTAAAGCAGAACGGGAAAACGGCACACGCGCGGGCTGCCTCTCACATGAGCGCTGCCCTTGGTCCGGGATCTTCCTCCAAGCTGGGGAGAGGCAGCCTCCTCTTCTCCCACCTGCCCTGATGAGCTCACAGTGGCTAGGCTGGAGGCCGTGTGCAGCTGGTCCCCATCTGCTCTTCCTACAGTGACTGTGTAAGCAGGGTTTTCCCTAGGCTCAGCCACATGGGTCAAAGATAAGAACGAGGGGCCTCACTGCCCAGCTTCCAGGGAGCACACAGGCACTGCCAGGCTGCCCCTGCGGCCAGAGCGATCAAGCTGGGGTTCTCGATGCTCTTAGTTGGAGCGGCACATGCACCTGGGCACTGGAGCCACTGGTTACGAAGCCCACACAGCTGCTTTCCGAGGGGCCAGCTGGGCCTTGACCCTGTAGTATTCATCGTGGTTTATTTTTTGGGGGTCCTGGAACTTGAACTCAGGACCTCATGATTGCCAGGCAGGTGCTGTGCCACTGAGCTAAATCCCTGGCCTATATTTATGTTCTTCAACTGCCAGAGACATTTTAATGGTCAGGGAAGGAGAGAGCAGATGAAAGGCAAGAGGAAGAAAAGAGAAGGCAGTTTCTGCCCCACCAATAAACCCTGTGTGCCAAACTTAAATCTGATCCCCTCTCTGGCATTGTGGCCCTTTTGCTAACACTGGTTTTGGAAGAAGCAAAAGCAAGGTTCTGCAATGCAAGACTGAGCTGGTCAGACCAATTTCCAAGCCATATTTACTGGCCTGTAGGAAAGAGACAGCAGCTCTGACTTCCGCCTGCCTCCTTAGTGCTGGTGGTCCTGGCAGTTGCAGGTGCCTGGGTCTCGTGCTGTGAGGCGGACATCAGAGGCGAAACCATTCCGCAGGATGCACTAGCACGGGCTCCAGCCACTGCAAACCCTTCTGCAGGTGGAGCCTTACCAGTGATTTAAGATGAAGCACAATGCCTTTTATTACACATCTAAGTGTTAATGAGAGGAATGCAATCAGCAACTCCGTTCTGCACTCTACATGAAATCCAGGAGACTGCTGAGTCCAGAAAGAGGCAGCGCTGATAGAGCCCAGGAAGCTCCTGCCCCTCCCCTCGGGTGGTGGACGAGGAGGAGGAGGAGGAGAAGGAGGAGGAGGAAGGGGAGGAGGAGGAGGAGTTTCAAGAAGGATGACCGTGCGGCCAGAAGGCTGGGTCCGCCACAGTGCTGGATGGGTGCGCGCCTCCACATGTCTCCAGCGGCCCGCCTCAGGCTGACAGGACACTTACCACATGCCTCCTCCATGGCCAGGGCTGGGGCTGGGGCTGGGGCGTGCACTTGGCCTTTCTTCCCTTCTCTCAGAGGCTGTCAGGGTGCGGTCTCCTCTGCTCTGGCCAGGAGCTGGCACTGCAGTAACATGGTGACACTGGGCTCTGTCTGCCCGGAAGCTGCATCCTCCTGTCCCAAGAAGTGGGCTATGTGGGGAATTTAGTTCTTCTGCTTAGTGGCAAAGCAAGAGAGATTCTGTCCAAACACTAAATATATTTGTAAGTCATCTTTGTCTGGAACCCAATGGAGGAGGAACAGGTGTGAGGGACAGGAGAGGGCAAGGGGAGTAGCAACAGTCCCCAGCATTCACTTGAGACAGAAGACATCTTCTGATAGCAGCATTGAAGCAGCTGCTGCATCACGCAGGCTGCCCTGGTCAGCGCAGGCCAGCTGTCTCCCACCAGGAGTCTCGAAGCCCTGCTCCTCGCAGGTCCAGGGATCCAGGTCGGAGTCTGATTGTTACTGTTTGCAGATATGTTGAATACCGCAACTTTAATGAGTCCTGTGAGCAGACACAGGGAACAGTCACCACCCCTTGGCCCGTACATCTCCCCTGCTCTGGAAGCAAAAGAATGCTCACTTGCCTATCAACCAGAAGGGGGGCCCAGGGGACCTTCCCCAAGGCCATGCCCTGTACATGCAGTGCTGGGGCTTCTGTCCTAGCTGCCCTGGCTATGGGAGGACTGGGCTGGCAGAGGGCAAGGCTGTGGATGCATCCAGGGAGCTACAGGAGCGCGCAAGCAGTGGTGCACTGGAGGCCAAGATGCCAAGCTCTCTCTGCTCCCTAGAGGGTGGAACAGGTGCAGGTGGCTTAGAGCTTCTGCCTGAGTGGCCAGGGACACAGTGGGGCCACTCAAGAAGAGAAGGTGTGGGGATGGTGGACAGTGGCTGGGAACCCTAAGGACAGATGTGCAGATGGCAGGCCTGGAGACATAAACCGTGTCATAGACACAGAAATGTGAAGCAAGAGCTGAAAGCTTCAAGAAAAGGTAAATCAGCCCATGAAGGGAGCTTAGTCTGAAAGCCTGAGACACTCCTGGGGGACATCTGTTTTAGGAGGGTGAGAGGAGGACAGTGACAGAGGCAACCAGCTAGAGACAGTGATAAAAATGTGGGTTACCCAAATGCTACAGTGGTAAAACATGGACTGTTGTCTGTTGTACTGTTGTAGCTTGTACAGCCCCCTCCCTTCCCCAGCCCTTCACAGAGAACAGATTCTAGTGCCTAAGCCTGCAGCTGCTCTGAAAATCATGAGAACTCACAATGCCTTCTACTGAGGGGCACCCTAAATGTAGGGTTTCCCTCTGGACTGCAGGCTGGGTGCCTGGGTGGAAGTGGTGCCCGGCTCTGCGGCCTGCCCCTTCTCTGTCTGTGTCTCCTGCTCCTCAGGGCTTGGTGAGAAAGGTCCAAGAAGGGGAAGTGGCAGCCACCAGCGCCCCTCCCCACAACACAAGGCTGCTCCTACCTGGGCAAGTAAGGTCTGGAGGGGATCTATCTGGAAATGTAGGTGTACGTTCGTGACGGGGAGCGAGGGGGCTCTGCTTGGGCCGCTGGGTCATTTAGGAAGTCCCAGATGAGGATGGTGTCATCGTGTGAACTACTGACAATCTGGAATTCATCAAACTGGAGGCGGAAAACTCTTCCAGAATGCTCCTAAAAAAGGAGAAAGCAAAGGATAAGAATCTGAACTACTTGAAAGCACAAGGACACAACATGCTATCACAGCCAAATATGGAAGGAAAATTTTGTTTGCTACAGGTAGGATGGAAAGTCAAATACTAGGGTCTGACTTCAGGAACAAAATAGTGATATTCTGCAGTGGAAAACAATACCCTAGTTTCCTGCTACCAATTCTGTGGCTTGGGCTAGAGAAGCACATTTTTCAGGGCCTCCCTTGCCTTATCTCCTTTCCATCTCTAAATTACTTCTACGGTCAGGAAACTAAAGGGTGGAGAGTGCTAACAATGATATGCTAGAAACTACTTACCAATTAAACTTCCTCACTTTGTAACACTACAACTGTACAGATGTCATGGCATATCAACCAGTTTGCAAAATTCATGAAAGTCAACCATCTGGCTTTCATAAATGGGTGTAAGATCTAGTACATGATTCCTCCTAACTGCTGCCCTGATCCAGACACAGATGACTTCCAACAGCCTAGATCTAGAAGGCATTCTCATACCCTTGCTAGCCACTCTTAATACTGTGTTATAGCTTATGTGTACTGGGCCCCCAAGCCTCATGCAGTCATGGAGGCAGCTGAATCTAGCGTTTGTGATTGGTTCATTGTCTAGCTCTGGGGCTGGCAGTGTGAGTGCTGCACCTGCCTAGGGGTGGAGCTGGCATACAATGTAAGAGAGGGAAAAAGGTGTGTTTTCTCCTCCCCGCCCTTTTTGCTCTTATTGTTTGTGGCTGCCATAACAGTTGCCCCTCAGTCATGCCAGCCTACTTTGGAGCCAGCTGAGTAAGGACTGAAACCTCCAAAACTCTAAGATAAATAAACCTTTTCTTTCTTCATTTTGGGTGTTAGGTATTTTGTCTCAGCAACTAGAGAAAAGTAACCAAGACATGCTATCAATTTGTTTAGACTCTGTGTGTGTGTGTGTGTATGTGTGAGAGAGAGACAGACAGACAGACACACACGCACATTAGGGATTAAATCCAAGATCTTTGCACTGAATTACATTCTCAATGCCCCTATTTCTTTTGCTTTTTGGAGTCAGGGTTTTGCTAGGTTGCCAGGGCTGGGCTCATACTTGGGCTGACTAGTTTTGAATTTCATGTCAATACTTCGTATAGTATATATATATACTGGCCCTGTATCAGTACGCAATGCTCGTTTTATCCCTGATATTCCCTGCTCTGGAGTTGGCTCTGTCTGAAATTAATACAGGTATTCCAGCTTTCTTCAGGCTAGAGTTAGCATGGTGTATTAACTTGCTAGACCTTTATATTAACCACCTTTCCATCACTGTGACCAATGTTGAAAACTTGATAAAAATTTGATAAAGAGTAAAGATTTATTTTACTTCATGGTCTCTGTCTTGGTAACTTTTCTCTCACTGAGACAAAATACCTGATGCCCAAAATTAGGGAAGGGAAGGCTTATTTCTTACAATTTTGGAGGTTTAAGTCCATACTCAGTTGGCTCTAAGGCATGGTGGCATAGTGGGGCCGCCATTCATGGCTACCACAAACGGTAAAAGTAGACCAAGCAAAAGAGGAAAGACATGCCTTCTCCCCCTTACACTGTGGGTTCCACCCCTGGGTGGGCACAGCACTCACACTGCCAATCCCAGTACTAGACAACTAACCAATCACAAACACTACATGCAGCCAGGTCCATGATTGCTTGAGGCTTGGGTGGGGAGGTCCAAAAACAAACTATAATAGTCTCAAAAGTATTAGACCTGGCTGTCTGGCTCCAATGCAGAACCACCATGCCAGGAATGTACTCTGTCACGAAACTACATCCCAGCTGGTTTTTTTTTTTTTTTTTTTTTTTGTCTTTTTCCTTTTTATTGGTACTGGGGATTGAACTCACAACTGCCTGCTTACAAGGCAGGTGCTTATGCCACTGAGCTAAATCCCCAGCCCCATCCCAGCTGTTTTTTTGTTTTTTGGTTTTTTTTGACCATAGATTGAACTCATGATCTCACACTTACCAGGCAAGTGTTAGAACCACTGAGCCAAATCCCTGGCCTCATCTTAGCTCTTTTTAAATGATGTGGTGTCGGAATAATGATGTATACAGAAATAAAATCCATGGCACTAATAGATTTTTGCATGGATGGGAGAGGAAAAATGGAAATATGGTGTTTTAAGTTTCTTCCTTTACATATGTTGTATAGATTTTTTTGCAGGGGGCGGGTACCAGGGATCAAGCTCATGACCTTGCGCTTGCCAAGCAGGCGCTCATGCCAGTAAGCTAAATTCCCGGCCCCTTCCTTTACATATGAAATGATACAATATCACTTGCTATTACACCTCAATGAAGATACATATTCTCTTGCTCACTCTGAGACTACTACATGCAACTAGTAACTCAGAAATGGAGGTAAAACAAAATCCTCAAAACTAATCCCTCAAAAGGGCAAGAAAATGGAGAAAAATAAAGAAAAACAGAAAACCGCTATGATAGATTCAAAATCATATAAAAATTACATTAAACATAAATGTTCTATACATATCCATTAAAAAGCAGAGGAGATTAGAATGAATTAAAAAAAAAAAAAAAAAAAAAAACACCCCATGGCTGGGTGTGGTGGTGCACGCCTATAATCCCAGCACTTAGGTAGGAAGATTGCCTTGAGTTCAAAACCAGTCTGGATTATACAGTAAATTCAAGGTCAGCTTGAACTACATAGCAAGACTTTGTTTTAAAAAAAAAAAAAAAAAAAAAAAAAAAAAAGACTTGTCTATAAATATTTATAAAAACTTTTTTGGCAATAGGGGAGGTACTAGGGGGTTAAACCCAGGACCTCTCTGGCTCTTTTAAAAAAAAACTTTTTTAGAAATTTGAGGATAGCATCTTTGTAACTTGCTAAGTTAACCAAGCTAGGCTCAAACTTGGGATCCGCCTGCCTCAGCCTTCCACAGTACTAGGATTAAAGGCATGTGCCTCTACATTCTGCCTATTCAGCAACATTTTAAAAAGGAATGAACTGGGGCTGGGGATTTAGCTCAGTGGCATAAGCGCCTGCCTTGAAAGCGTGTGGTCGGGAGTTTGATCCCCGGTACTGATTAAAAAAAAAGGAATGAACTATTGATACACATCAAAAACAAGGGTGAATATACAAAAGTAACTGATCTTTCAGTGAAAAGAGGCAAGAAAGAGGATGTACTACACAGTACATTTTTATAAAACCATTAGAAAATGCAAACTTTGATGGAAGGGGCTGCTTAGGGAAGGGAGTCTGGAGGTAGGCAGGATGGGAAGGAATCACCAATGGGGATGAGGACATCACCACGCATGGCTTCACTAGTACACCTGTGTCAACGTTTTTATCATGCTGGTACTTTCAATATGTTCACTTTATTGTCTGCTAATTTCACCTCAAAAATGTTTTTAAAAAATAATTTAATAAAATGGGTGTAGTGGAATATATCTATAGTTCTAGCATACTCGGAGGGTGAAACAGGAGGACTGCAAGTAGAGTTGGGATGTAGTTCAGTGCAAAGGTCCTGGGTTCAACGCACACTACAGCAAAAGACAGACAGACAAGCAGTTTGCAAAGTCTGAACAGACATTTTTCAAAAGATAAGCATATGAAAAGATGCTATTACTGTTATCACACAAATGCAAACTGCACATTCACTCAAATGTTTGTGATTTGTCTACTGACAATACCAAGTGCTGGAAAAGAAATGGAAAAAGAGAACTTCCATAGAGTCAGTAAAAATGCAAAGTGCTTTGCCTTTTCAAAATTTAATATGCTACTTTGGGAAGCAAGCTGGTAGTTTCTTTTAAATTTAAACCACTGGATCCAGAAATTACACTCCAAAATATTTATCTGAGAGAAATGAAAACAAGTATGGACACAGTAACCTGTAGAGGAAAACTTTCAGTGGCTTTACTTAGAACCAGTGAGAACGGGACACATCCCAAACACCCTTAAACTGGCAGATGCACAAACAAAATGGTTCATCCCCCACTGAAATACTACTTAGGGATACAAAGAAGCCAAGTACAAACACATACAACAACATGGTCATATCTCAAACCAAGTTAGAAAAGTCTGCACATGGTCTTGATTTATATGGCATTCACAAGACAGCAAAAGTGCAGTAAGAGGAATCAGACAAATGGCTGCTAACAACTGCTAGGAGGTGAGGATATGCAGGAGCCTAATGAAACGGGGTGACAGAAATGTTCTGTATCTTGATTGCAGTAAGAATTACACAACTAAAAAAATGCTATACAGCTGCAAAGTTCACAGAAGCATACTAAAGAAGGGTCAGTTTTCCTGCATGTGAACTGTACCTTAAAACATCAGACAATTAAACTTGTCAGATTAATTGTAAGCAAACAGCAGGACGTATCTTAAAGACTATGTGTGAAATACACAGGCAAAGGGGCACTTCTAAGAGAATATGCTCTAAATCCATACAGGTCTGAGCCAAGAGCGCCGAGCTATGAGGAGCCAGGTTCAAACACTAAGCTTGGAGTGCTTGCTCCTGTCTTTTCCAGAGGTGTGCAGAAGATTCTGCCACCTTGGCATCTCCGCTCATTTGCTATGTGCAGTAGCAGCTGCTGATCTGGGCCTTTGACTAGCACGAGTGCTTGTAGAGGTGACACTCCTCTTCCTGTGTTTTGTGATACTGGGGATTTAACCCAGGGCCACAAGTCTTGAGCTTACTAGGCAGGTGGCAAGTGCCCTGCCACTAAGCTGTATCCCCAATTGCAGTCGTCCTTTGATTTCCTTCCCCACATGGCAAGAAGCTCACATGAGGGTGCATAAAGTGGGTACCCGACCAGATCCGAGCTACTGCAGGCACCATCCCTCGAGTGTGATACAGAACTGAGGCACTGACCATGAGTGCTCAAGATTCCCAGAGCACTTTTGCAACAGGTGTGCAGGTCCTCAGATTCTGGACAAGCTCCAACCCGAGTAATTATATTCCCTCTCCCTCAGTACTCTGTGACTCCTGGTGGTATAGCATTCTTATTTGCTTCCTATACTACAACATCGCAGAGTTGCCATGCAGCTGTTAAACCATGTTCATCTTCACACAGACTTGAAAGCACCTCTGGATGAAAGGCACTATATAAACATGTTTTTTTCCTGTGTGCTGGCTGTCTTTCTGCTTAGCAGGTTTGTGAGGATCTATCTGATCCAGATCTACATCTGCAGCATATGAACATTTAACCCACTATCCTTCTGGCTTCCTTTAACAACAATAAGGCTCTTACCACCAGGGTCCGTAGGCAGAGAGTCCCTGCAGGAGCACGAGGGTCCAGAGCAGCCAAGAGATCCCATACTTTAATTTTTCTGATGATCAAAAAGCGGAACAAAACCTCAGTCAAAAGCGCAATTAAGGAAATATAGGGAAGAGAGAATGAAAAGCATCATACCACAGTGAGATAAGAAAATTCGTGTTTATAGTGCACACTCAGTTAATAGCTGAATCTTAGCAACAGCCCAAATGCCCATCAACCAGTGAATAAAGACGTGAGTCTTTCATTTGGTGAATACTACTCTGCCATAAAGAACGATAAACTGGAGACATTTATGGCTAAGTAGATGCACCCTGAGACCATACTCTTGCCACATTTTTTTTTTTTATCGGTACCAGGGATCGAACTCACGACCGCCTGCTTGCAAGGCAGGTAGGTGCTTATGCCACTGAGCTAAATACCCAGCCCCTGAGACCATACCCTTAAGGGAAATAAATTAGACATGTGTAAACACCACACTGGTGTGAGAAACCAAAGTAAAAATAAGGACCAAAATGTGTAACAGATATTGTGAAATAGGAAGAAAACGTTCAAATGGGAAGAAAAACTAGGAACAGAGAAGGGGGAAAGGAAGGAAAGGAAAAGAAAAATAAAAGGTTAAAGAACAAAAAATGGAAACAAAGCTTTGTAAATGAGAAGAGGATCTGAAGGGAGATGAGGGGAATGGGAAGTTGCATTGTGAGCAGGTACAAACTCCTTATGATGAATGTCAGTGTTATGCATATCTAAAATGTACCAATAAACCTAACTTTAAAGAACCTGAGGGGGAGGATTGTACTTACAGTACAAAGCAGCCTGAACTACATAGTGAGACTCTGTCTCAAAAACAAAGTGAGGAGAGAGAGAAACAGAGAGACAGAGAGAGAGAATCATTAACAGGTACAGTTGGAGAGAAGTAACTTCTAATGTTCTGTAGCATGGTAATAAAACTATGGTTGCCAACAACTGACTGACTATTCCAAGACAGCTAGTAAACATATTCTAAATACAAAGAACCAATAAATGTCTGAGGTAAAGGATCTGCCCCTCTCCAATAGAAAATACAGGGGAAGAAAAGCAGCAACTCAAGGAAATACATATGAATGGTGAAGAGTTTACATTAGGAATCCAGTTCACAGGAATATATTTTGTTTTGGAAAACTGTTCCTTGTATTCATCATTCTTGGGCAAGGTTATTGGTCTTAATGGGGCAGGGGGATGTATGTGACTATCCTAAAAATCAAGAAACAGGTTACTTTCCCCCCAATCCATTTTATTTCAAGGATAAAAAGGAGAAAGAGAAGAAAAAGAAGAGAGGAGGAAGACGAGAGGAAGAAGAAAGAAAAAGAAACAGGTTAGCTTTAAGTACATGGAAGATAGCTAATAATAAATTTGTAGAAGGCCTGGAAGGAAGTGGAGATTTTGTGCAACGTCAACCCCCCCCCCCCCCGCCAGTGCCACTACATCTGTGCAAATACTCTACCACTGGGCTACATAACCAATTGGTTTTGCTGGTTTTAAGACAAGTTCTCACTAAATTGCCCTTGAACTTGCACCCTTCTTTCTCAGCCTCTCCAGCAGCTGGGATTACAGATGTGCTCTGTGGTGTCTGGCCACGAGAACTCTGAATGGTAAGAGATTACTTAGACCCAGGAATCTAAACTTTTCAGGCATCCTTCTAGTCTGAGAATGGCCCAGATCTCAAGCACCAAAATCTGGAATCCATTTAAGATCCTTTATATGTCATTTAAGAGCTCTGCGTTTTGAACAAGCAAATCTCCCATTCTGATTGAAGTTAGCATAGTTATGCCCTTCTAAAAGTCAATTACAATGGTACTTCACTTCATTAATTTACTTCTTTCCATGATTTTGGTCATAAACTGGATTGGATGAGAATCGAATCAAATACAGTGGTTAGGGTGGTTATAATCGAGTACAGTGATTTTGGTCATAAACTGGATTGGATAAGAATCGAATCAAATACAGTGGTTAGAATCCAATCAAATACAGTGGTTAGGCTGACTTTATGAGGAAATCTGAGTTGGTTCTTATCCAATTCAGTCTGTGACCAGAAACGTGGAAAGAATCAAGTTCATGAACTGAGGTGCCACTATATAGCCTACACTTCCTCAAGTTGTATAAAAGACAAAACTCCCCAAAAGTAGAGACAAATCAAAACCAGAAAACAGAATACTGACCCATCTGGAACATGCCACACAGTCTGCAGAGCCTTCCAAGGGTCTGACAGTGATGGGTAACTCCAAGAGAAGAAAGTGAGCTGAATACACTTCTGCAGCCTGGTCAGTTTACTGGATTGTTAATAGCCCAGGAACCAACTTAATGCTGTTGGTTTCTAGTATTTAAAAAGCCGCCAACATCCGCCAGCAGCTTCCATTCCCCCTATCCCACCACAAATAAGGCACTTTGATGAGAAACAAATAGTGTTTTTCAGAAATGAAAATATTTTTGTATGAATCTGCTCTGGACTCAGTGTTGCTAGACATGAGATCTGCTCAAAACATGAATAGATTCTATTCTGGAAATTAGACTCAGGAAAATAAAGACTACTGAATTCATTAAAAATGAAATGCTAGAATTGATGACAAGACAGTTGTACTTTAGCAATCTCTCAAGATTAAAATCAAAGAGATCAAAATTCCAGACGCTACCATGTACTATGCCTCAAAGATACTGCCTTCCAGTGTCTCCAATTTATTGATAAGTTACTATTTTATATATAGGTCCTGGTAAAGTGGATTTTTCTGGTTCTTTGCTTTATTGAGCAAGACAGACAATATTACAAGCAAATAACTAAAATAATAATTGACATTCATGTGTAAAAAATATAATAAAATGAGAAAGTATTTTAGAAAATAGAGGTGAGTACATACATTGAAGAAATATTGTATTAGATTCTTTCTGTGACATGTTAGTTTTTGGAAATAAGAAAAGGTTTTAGTTAGGCTAGAAAGAATTATGGTATAAATAGTGTGTGTGTGTGTGTGTGTGTTGTGTGTGACCAGGGTCTCATACATGCAAAACCTGCACTCTACCCGAGCCACACCTCTGCACCCCAGCTGTCAGATGCGTTCCCAACTGTGTTAGCGAACTCACCCATCATAGGCCCCACTGACTATCCTCTTATTATCAAACCGAATGCACCGAACCAATTCCTCATGGCCTTCCAATACTCGTAAACATGCACCACATTCTATGTCCCATAATCTAGAAGAGAAAATTGAGTTATGTGAATTTTTTGTGTATTGTCTAAGCTTGGCATTTAAAATAATATACTTCACATGTCTTCTAAGAATCCATAATTACAATACTAGTAACAGCAGCTGGGTGTGGTGGTACATACCTGTAATCCCAGCACTCAGGAGGCTGAGACAGGAAGATCATCAACATGAGTTCGAGGTCAGTTTGGGCTACCTAGTGACTTCAGGACCAGCCTGAACTACATAGGGAGACCCTGCCTTAAAAACACCTAAAAACACACACACACAAAAAAAAACAACAACAAAAAACAAAAAACAAAAAACAAAAAAAAACCAACCCAAACAAACAAACAAAAAATCCCACAAAAATAAAACCAATCATCACTCATATAAAAGTGTATTGTTATCAGTGTATTTTCCTTCTGCCCAAGTATATGATGTAAACTCAAATGTAGTATGTATTTTCAGAGCACAATGCTTTATATCCAGGTCCTCTCAAGCATAAAAGGGACTAACTCAGTGCACACGGTTTCCTGGAAAGGAAATGACCAGTCCAGGAGAGCGATGCTTCCTGAAAGCACCAGAAGGAATGGGACCAGCGTTGGGTAACCCAGTCCTCACACATCATCTCACCGCTGGCTCTGAGGACACCTCTCTTTCACTCACCATCCAGGACGGTCTTCTTTCATGTTATGGACATACAAAGCTAGTTTTAAAAAAGTTTCATATGATAATTTTGTTTTGTTTTGGTACCGGGGATCAAACTCATGACTGCACGCTTGCCAGGCAGGCACTTATGCCGCTGAGCTAAATCCCCAGCCTTCATGCGATGATTTAAAAGGCTGTCTGCTTTCAGACCAATCTAAGTGATCAACAAGAATGATAATTTAGGTATAAATGATCTGTTTTTCTTTACTCCTTGCTTGATTTTAAAAAATGGTCTCTGCATCTTCTCAGTAATTCACTGAAGAAAAGGAGAGGGTGAGTAAATCTTCCAAATTCTTCCAAACACATCTGTATCATTCATTTTGGTGAAGGGGAAAAATATAACAAAGTACTCCAACATATGATTTTCATATGAAATAAAAAGAAAAAAATAAAACCAAAAAAATCTTCAGACAGGTTAATTCTTTGGCTAATCATGCAATGTTAAGACAAAACTGCACACTTTTTAGTAAAGAAACAAATTTATTTCTTTAAATAATAGTGACAAAAAAGGCTATTCATTAACACCATTTACCAGCTACTTATTAGTACTTTCAACTGCAGACAAAGCTACATAGCCTGGCCTTCTGCCTCAACCCAGTCGCCTTCTTGTTACTTCTTTATTGATGGGTATACCTGGAACAGGTCCACCTGGGAATGAAACTATTATGGAAGGAGACATATATACAAAACAGACTACTCTGCTGTCTCTCCGACTCTCTGCAGACCCCTAAGAAGCTACAGAAAGGAAAATGCCTGATAGTAAACACCACAGCGGAAGAACCATCTCATCTGTTTACTGAACCTGGGAACACTGGTTTTTCTTGGAAATGGCACTTGCTGCTCACCTGATAGTGTTGTCAGATGAGCCACTCACCACCAGCCGGTCTCTGTACTGCAAACAGGCAATGCCTCGCTTGTGTCCATTTAGGGTCCTTACGAACTCACAAGTACTTGTGTTCCATACCTGAGGCACAAAATGACATTGAGGAGCGATTTGGTTCTTTTTCTGGTCAAATCTATGGTGAATGGAGTCTCAGGGAAGCAGGAACAGGACTGAACCACTAGGGGAAGTCAATTTCTCAAACATATAGAATAAAGCAAACAAGTCATTTAATTCATGGCAATACTAGTTTAATTAGAAAATGGTTAGCATCACATGGGAATTCTTCAAGCTGATCTATGCGGTTTGTCTGGTCTTGTGAATACATTTTCTTGAACTTAAATTTACCCCTGACCTTTTCATGCTCACCATGATTATTTTCTGTTGTTGGGGGCTGAACCTAGGGCCTTATGCATGCCAAACACGTACTTTGCCAGCAAGCCACATCTCCAGCCCACCACCATCATTTACAGGAATGAAGTATCTAGCCAAAACTACCCTACCACCTGCCTTACTCATCATCTTTTTATATAACACTTGTCCCTGATACACTGAATATCAATGTATCCTACAGTGATATCTATAAATGCAGCTATCAACAATCAAATTTTTACATGAACTCTAAATTGGAGACTTACTGAAAAATGCCTTATTACCTTTATAGTTCTATCTCCAGATGCAGAAACAATGTACTTGTCATCAAAGTCTACAACGTTGACGGCTGCTCGGTGTCCAACCAGGACCCTCCGGAGAGTAATGTCAGTTGGGGAGGCCATGTCCCAAACAGCAATGGAGCGATCTTTGGAGCAGGTCACCATCATGCCATTATTGAAACGTAGGTGAAGAACTGCTTCACAATGGTGAATCAATGTGTTCAGCATTTCACCTGTATTCACATCCCATACTCTGGAAGGGATATCTGAGAGTTAAGACAGTACTAAAGCTATGACTTATTAGCCATATTTGAATATAATGCCTCCCACTATACCCTCCATTCTTTCAGAGCAAGTATTATACTCTCATCTTCTTTTACAGCACTAAGGTAGAGTAATAATGGACCATACAGAAACAATAGAAAGAGGCTGGACAGAGAGACTGGGAAAAGCATAACGATGGGGTGCTGCCTAGTGGTACTCTTAAATCTTGAAATCTGGGAAAGTTGTGGAGGACAAAGATGAAGCGTCTGCTCCTAACACCTGATCATTTGGGCCAGTGTTCAAGGTTATCATGAATGATGTCAATTTGATACTGTTAAGGAGATAAATTTTAAATGAGGAGTCTGATTAGTAACACCAGCATTGGCACCGGCCCATTAACTACCCTGAGGAACTGGAACCAACATGGGCCAAGATGCTGCTGATACAGACTTACTACTGTAGGTGTGGATGTGATTGCCCAAGATTACAGGCCCAATGCACAGCTCCAGAGGCATGACTGCCCAGACTTCACGTTTCTCAGGGTGGCAGGAAAGGAGGTCAAAAAAGCCTTCCCACTACCACTATGGGCTCTCAAGCAGAGCATGAGACCCTTGGACAGCTTGAAGACTTTCTGCTGTTACTTTGGTTACTCTATTTCTGCATAATGAATGTGGCTTTGATAATATTTTATGTTTTACAGTTTGGCCTCCTTCTTAAAAAAAAACAAAAAAACAACTTTTTTTCTGGGCTGGAGGTACACCTCAGTGGTACAGCACTTGCCTACCACACATAAGTTCGATCTCCAGCACTGCAAAGCAACAACAAAAACAAAAACAAGAAATACATTTCTCCTTTACCCTACAAATGTACAGTGTTTGAGCTCCTGTAAAGCACTCCACAAGCACCGTTAAATGTTAAATGTTGACAAATGCAAGGGCTGGTTTACTATGCCTTGAAGTAAAAACATGAGAAGTAGAGGCATCATTTTCTAGTCACAGAGCATAATTTCCAATGGCAAACATGTAAGTTCAGAGAATTTAACACAGAGTTAACTGCTTTTACTAGTTTTTTTTTTTTTTAAGTTACTTTTGATGCATTATGTTTGCTAAACCCTTTAGCCTAAGGCCAAGTTCCAAACAGAGGCTTCCAGCAGTGCTGCTGGTACCCAGAACTCAAGCTACACTGGACTCCAGCAGCATAATGTCAGTGTCATCAAACCACCACTGCCTCTGGAAACTGAATTTCCTCCCTGAGTGAAGCTCACAATTAAAAACTGCCAGGACAGCAGGGGAGGGGCTGGCAGGAAGACAGCACTGCTTACCTGTCCATATTTTAAAGAGGTAATGCCTGTGCTATATAGTTTAACTACTTGAAAAGAAAGGCTTCTTTCCTTTCATGTTACTCCCTTCCTTCTGAAGGGACACTAGGAATGCAAGGTTTACAATAAAGGTAAATTTCTGTCATGGATGGAACGGTTTCTAAATTAAAATGGATAGTATCTTATATGTAACAAAGCACAAATTTAACCCAATCATTCCCAAATCATGTTTTAGGTTCTATATTGACACAAATAAAGTGGAAATGGATGGTTTTTTTCCTCTTGGTTTCAGAACTGCATTCATGAGGAGATGTACAAAATTACTATCTATGACAAAGAACAGAGCACATCAGCTGTTTCAGTGTTCAAAACTCAGCAACTGAAGTTCCTACCTGACTGTGGAATCTGATGATCCAGTCACAATGACCCTTTCGTCATACTGGAGACACAGCACGGAACCTGTGTGGCCCATGAGGATTCGCCTGCATTCCAGTGTGCTTTTATCCCAGATCTAAGAGGACAAACAAGACCCTTCTGATCACTGTGATGATGGATTTGTGGAGACTTGTTGGCTCTGATTCCCTCAAAAATCAAAGCCTAGAGCAGTGAGGAAACACATTCTTTTCTGCAGGTACAGTTAAGCAACTATATACATGTGGCTTTAGTCCTAAAAAACTTTATTCTTTTCATTAAGCAGTAAGGGCAGGCTATAATTATACAAAAAGAAATTTTCCCTTACCCTAAAAATGATATAACCATGTATAATGTTTAAGTTTCTGTAAATTAGTACATTCCACAAATACCACTGAACATTAAATGTTGAACAATCCAAGAAGTTACAGCCCCTCAGTGTAACTCAAGAAGGCAAGATAACCCTGAGACTATTCATTTGAATGCTTACATGGGAAGGAGAAGACATCAGTCTTTTAAAGAAACTTTGGAACTGGAACCAACCTAAAATTCTTACTTTCTAGAAGGGTTTGCAACCCTGACGGCTTAAGAATGTGGTCCTCCCTGGTCCCTTGGCTACTTGCCCACAACTGAAGAGACCTTACCTTGATGGTGTTGTCGCGAAGGCCGCTTACTATTTTCTGGTCATCATACTGCAAACAGTAAACACCTTTGCTTGTTTCACTTCTGCAGTGGATTCTCTGTAAGCTATGTCTTCCACATCTCCAGTTAGATTCTATGGTCTGAGAAACAAATGGTGAAGAGGAGCTAATTAGCAATGAACCCAAACCAAACTCATATCAGTGGTAACCAATGTGCCAATGCGGTAATCTATGGGATATACAGGACTAAATGAAAACTAAAACATGCATGAGGAAACTAAAAATATGCGTGGAGAAAAGTTGAGTGCTCAGTGCTCTTCTCACAAATGTGACCACTGAATTCCTATGGAGGCTCAGTTCAAAAGACATTTGCGTATCAGCTTAGGAGCACAGATTTAATGATTTTACTGCTATTTTAAGAAAGTCAATCTCTTTGTTCTCTCATTTGTTTATCAGTAACCAATTTTTTAAAGTTTTACAAAATTTGCTTGGAAATTTACTGTATTTTACCTACCCAATTTACTTGTAAAGGTATTTATTTATTTATTTTATTTATTTTTGGTGCAGGGAATCAAACTCACAATCTCACACTTGCCAGGCAGGCGCTGTACCACTGAGCCCCAAGACACTAATTTTTTAACATCCATCAGTAAACCTTAATGATTTGCTATAACAATACTGAAACTGAAGAATGCTAATGATTCTCTATTTGGCAAATACCCCCAATACAGAAAGTCTTACCTCAATGTCTTGTATAATTTTAGGATAAAGTGATCTATAAAAAGAGTTGGGAGGAGCATTGCCATCAGGAGGTTTGTTTTTGAATAAATACTGTCCCCTAAAAAAAAACCCAAATATTTCCCAATGAAAACCACAGTATTATACATTTATAAGGAGTGACACATTTCTTTAAAGTGTTTCACAGTTTCCAATTCCAATTAGCAATGAAGTCAAACCAAACTCACATCAATGGTGACCAATGTATCAATGCAGACACAGATTTGTCTCCATGACAAACCTGGAGAAGTGTGACGATGAGCCTGATTTCAGGAGTCTCTTGTCAAGCAGTAACTTTCTGAGCTCCAAGCAGTTTGACATTGATTTGCTTTTGGGTAAAATATGATTATTTCCAGTGCAAAATACCAGACTTCCAAGCCTTCTGGGATGGTATAATGTTAACAGACAACAGTATGCTTGATCTGAATTCATCTACTGGTCTGCTAGGCTACTGTATAGATTCAATGGCTCTATCTTTTAAAAACTCTGTTAGTTAATGGTAGCTATTACTTTTGAGCTACTACAGGTCTTGGAAGTTTTTGGTTTTTCCCTTGAGTCAAGGTGTGCCAGTGTCAGAGGACCCAAGCATGGCAGCAGCAATGCCTCTGCAGAGAGGTTACTTTTGCAGATCTTTATTTAGTGGGGTGAGGTATGCTGCTGCCCCATTGCCCCAGCTGCTACTGACCAGTGTGGCTATGTCTGAATGGGACATTTCAGCTCATTTCAACAGAAAACAGAGGAATCACAGGAGCATCCAACAGCAGGAAGGGAGAAAGAAAGATTGAAAGAAAAGCCTGAGCGTGCTGTGCTGCAGGCCTGTGGTATGGAACTGACTTTCACAGGTGTGTTTCTGGCTACGTTTCCACACACATGCCTTTTACTGCCTTCCCTGCATTCCAATGAGCAGCATTTGTTAGCAGCTCCTTCCTATGACAGCACATCTCTGGAATACTCATATCCCAAGTTAGATCTTTGCTACCACAAAAAATCAGTAAATGGCAATCACTTCCTGCTGGGTAAAAAATTTAATTCCTCGTCCTGAAGTTAAGAACTCACCGAACATGGTATGGAAGCCAGTAAACTCGCTGTGGGCATTCTAACTGCTGCTATCTCTGGCAACGCGCCGTGGAGTGGAGACAGGCGGCAATAGCTTTAAGTGCAGTCCTGGCACCAGAGAAGTCATGCTTCCTCTGGGCCAGTCATTTGCTCCTCCCTCTGTAGCTCCATTACTACATAATTAATTGCTCCATGTCTCTAGGAGTGCTTCTCCCTGCCCTGTGTCTTACACCTTGAAAATTAGTTGAGAAGATTTCCTATCAAAGAAGAAGTTGGCGCTAACTTTTGTGTTAATACAGTAAAGAAAATTTGAAATGAAGAAGCAAAAACTATTTTAAAAGGAAAGTAATGAAGCAGACATAATGGCAAAAAGGACAAGGCAGCTGAGCTAGCTGTGGTGGTGCTTGCCTGTGATCCCTGTGACTCGGGAGGCTAAGGCAAGAGGACCCCAAGTACAAGACCAGATAGGAAACCTGGTGAGATCTGTTTCAAAATAAAAAGGGGGTTGGAGCAGGGATGTAGTTCAGTTGTACAGCAATTGCCTAGCATGTTCAAGGTCCCAAGTTTAATCCCCAGCACTGAGGTAGAGGGAGAAGACAAACAAGTTATATTATGAAGCAATTACAGATTAAAGGTACACTTCTCTGGAAAATCTTATTCTATAAAAACTTTGCAGGCAAATGATTTACTTATTTATTTTTTGGCATTGGGAATCAAACTCAGGACCTTGCACTTAGCAAGCAGGTACAGCACTGCTGAGCTAAATCCCTGGCCTGATGAGAAAATTTTAGGTGTGACTCCAGAGCCACACCTGATTAATTTGTTTCTCGGTGCCCACCACTCCTGAGACAGTCTGTCTTTTCAGCCTCTGGCAATCGTATATAGGCACTCCAGGGTTATCTTAAAAGGAGCTGTCTTATTTTTCTCTCATTGCTGAGACAAAGTCCTGACACTCAGAACGAAGAAAGGAAACGTTTATTTAGCTTATGGTTTTTTGGAGGTTTCAGTCCATATTCAGCTGGCTCCAAGGTAGTGTGGTATGGCTAAGGGGCAACTGTTCATGGCAGTCATGAGTGACAAGAGCAAAAAAGGCAAAAAGAAAAAGCCTTCTTCCCTCCCTTATATTGGATGCCGACTGCCTGTCCCTGGGTGGGTGCAGCACTCACACTGCCAATCCCAGTGCTGGACAAAGAACCAGTCAGGAACACTAGACTCAGCTGCCTCCTGAGTGCATGAGGCTTTGGGGGGTCACCTAGACAAACCATTAAGGGGTATGATACTACTGCTATGTCCCTAGAAAAGAGAACTTGCATTATCTTCTAATCATATTTTATACTCCACCAGCTTTAACATGGTATCCAAATCAAAGATGCTACAAAAAGGAATGTATATGCTTTAAAAACTGGCCTCTAAGTATGTTTTGAGTCAAAATCGTTTATGATGGAAGCTCTCTGACAACAGGGACCAATTGCACATGAAATGTCTCATACCTGTAAGTGTGAGTACAGGATAAATGTGTAATATTAAATTCAGAATGTTACCATAAAATGTGATCTGCTGATTAAGAAAATGGACTTTTCCCAAATGGTCTGTTATTAGACTTTTAAGAGTTACCATTACTGAGCAAAGAGAGCATATTCAGTACTATTTAAGAAAGAAAATGGAAGAGTTCATATCCTAGGGACAGACTGTCAAATCCATCTAGATATAAAATAAAACAGCAAAGTGGAAGTTAAATCTTAAGAGACTCAAAACTGTATTTACTTGTTTATTTCTGGTTAAAAATGAGAGACATTTTCAAAGATACATCCAGATAAAGACATGACTAGAAGTCTTTATAGACACAATGGATTGGTCAGATAATTTCAAGAGAGAATGAGAGACTGGTCACCAATTATTTTTTAATGGAGGACAATTGGCACAGAGATGCTGAAGGAGGCTGACATGAGGTGTGCAGGTAAATGGTAATGCCACAGGGTGCTCACAAGCTAAGAGGCTAAGTGTGGCCAAAGACAAGGGACTGGAGTCACAGCACTGAAGGGCATTAAGGAGCAGCGCTGCGGCTGAAGAGACGGGGGAAAGGGCGCCCCTTAGTTCTGCATCCTGCAATCTCTCTCAGATATACTCTATACATTCTTCTAAAAATCCCAGAACTCAGCTTTCCAATTATCCTTTATTTTTTTTTAACTTTTTTTTGTAACTAACATAAAAGGTCTTGCTGCTTAGTTCCAACCCTAAACAAAACTGTGGAGCCTACTTTTACCTTTGGATTTTAACATCCATTTGCTAAGAATTGCTCACTTTTTTTTCCTTTCAAAAAAGGACTTACTCAACTCCTACTGTCTGACAAAGGTTCACTGTCATTTATAGTCCAAATGGGAACAAAGTATATTTTAACAGGGAAGCAAACCATAGCGCTAAGGGAATGAATCTCTACAACTAAAATTTGAGGTCAGGAGTTAATTTAGAGAAGAGTTCTTTTCTTTTTCCTGAGGGACAGAGAAATCTTCCTAGCTGCCCTAAAAGTTTCCCACTGCAGCATCTGCCTGCTCCATCTCTACAGCTGGGCTTGGCACTCTTGGCAAAATGAGGAACTTAAATGTCACACAACTCTATAGCATTTGCTTTGTCATACTGTGAGAGTTTCTTTCCAAAGTATGATGTCAGTTATGAAAGAAAAGTTGTTTTCCTATATGATAAGAGAAAAAGGAAAAACATATTTGGGAAGAAGTAAGAATATTTCAAATACAATTGATACACAGCCAAACAGTTGCTGGTATTTGGTTCCTTTACTGAATCGAAGAAGAAAATTTAAAGTCTTCCTAATAGAATGAACAAAATCTCTGAAGTTCTTGGTGGAATACTTAAAGGCCACTATACTTACTATGTGCTAAACTTTTCTTTTTTAATTTCTAGTATATATTTGTGTAAAATAACGTGTTAATAAATTTCAAAGATATAAAAAGGGTGCTAACTGTACTTGTGTGAAAATTCTAAGGAAAGCTAATCCATGCATTTATGTTTTAAGCATTCTCTACTCTTTTCTATTCTTAAAAATTCTTTTTGTCTTCTCCATTCTTAGCTGTTTTGTTTATCTTTACATAAACTGAGAAAATTGTGAAGTACATTATCATTTACCATTAAAACACTATGTTACTTTTATTTATGAACTGCTGTACCTGACTTTTTAATAATGACATTTTAGAGACATACAGAGAGAAAATTTTATAAAGATATCATGTAGAAACTTTCATAAAATAATACCATTATGTTAAAAGAACAATAAAACTGGTAATGTTTTTTAGACTGCTAATTTAGGAGAATTCAGAATGAAGTAAGAAAATCTTCTTTTTTGAGAAAGGGTTTCACTACGTAGCCTACGCTGGCCTCCAACTCACGTGATCCTCCTGCCTCAGCCTCCTGAGTGCTGTAAGAAAATCTTAACAATGATTTATATTCATTTTTTCTGATAGCTATAGTTCTTATTTCAGCTGGGCATAAAAATAATTTTGGATTACAAAGGTGATAAAACAGAAGCATGGGCTAACAGCAAGAAATCATCTGGAGGAGACAGCAATCATCTGTCCTACATTATCTTTGGGTAAAGCTGGGTCTGAGGGTTCCAATATGATTCAAAGTCATCTACTTTCCATATAAATTGCCTGTTGGTCCTTTTGCAGAATACCAATTTGCCCAGATAGCAGAATACGCCAAACAGGAGGGTGGTCGGTTTTCCACTTTATCATTTTATGAGTGACTGGCCAGAAGAATAATTGCTGAGTATACAAACAACTATTCTCTTTTACACTTTTAACTATAAATCAGCAAGACCACTGTGTTAAATGGTCTCTGATTCCCAACAGGAAGAAAGGTAAAACGCTTACCACCCTCTTCGTTCTGCCAGTCCTCGCCACAGAGAATCTGTCCTGACCATTCTCTCAATGAGCTTCTTCCATAACATGCCATCTGACGTCACTCGGTACCACTCTTTGCACACAAGTTCAGCAGCACACAGGGATTTGGCATCCAAATATGACAGAATGTTCTCAGCAATGTGATCCAAACCCCGAGCTTGGGGGGAGGGGAGCAGACAGAGTGAGTGGTGAGTGATTTTTTTAAACAGAGGTCCGTTAAAACAACAGCACTTGTTCTGGTAGGAAGGCAACATCACTGTCCCTAGTGTGGTCCCTAGTGTGGTCCAGCTTCTTTTTCAAATAGAGGCTTGGGTAAAATGAGTGTCAGTAATTTTTCTATAATGTTACAGAAATGAACCATATTTTCCATTTTCCTTTAGATAAAGAAGTTAAAGCTAACAACTAGCAAACCCCCCAAGACATTAAAAATAAAAAGGAGTCCAGCAAACAATTCACATTTATCTATATGGATTTTAGCACTAGGGGATGGTCTATGGATGGCATCGCAAACTCCGTGATTCAGACCCCCAAATCTCTATATTAGGTCCATTTCTCATTCTGTTTCTATTACTGCTGCAGTTCCAAAGCTATTCAGTAAAAGAAATATCCTTTAAATTTACTAGGAGAGAGGCACTAAGTCAGAATGTGCTGGGTTACAGAATTTGGGGCATGCAAAAAGGAGAAGGAAACACAGATTGGTACAGGAACATCTCGAAAGGGAAGACAGAGAGCTATGTTTAAGTTCAAGGATGAATTTAATTTCAGACTATATTTGAGAATAGCTACTGCTATAAAACCTAAATAACTGACTAAAAATGGAAAAAAACCATAGACCTCTAGATAACTTGTTAGCATTTCAGAGACTATTTTGTTGCAAGTACAGAGAAAAACAGAGGCAAACAGATCTTGGACTGTGTAAATACAAGGGTTTCCCAATGTAAGTGTTCTACTACCAAATCTATACTGAGATGCTGGTGAAAAGAGCACATAAAATAGGATGGCTGCACTAGAAATCTTCTCTTGGCTAATGTTCTAAGTTCCCAAGTGAGACAAAAACTCCTACACTCTGGGAGGCTGAGGCAGAAGGATTCCAAATTTAAGCCCAGCATCTCAGAGAGACCCTGTTTCAAAATAAAAAATGAAAACGGTTGGCTGGACATACAGTTCAAGGGCACAGCACCTGACTGGCAAGCATAATGTGCCAAGTTTGATTCTTGCTACAAAGAAGCCGGGGGCTAAGGATGCAGGTCACAAGCGTGAAGACACTGGTTCAATCCCCAGCACCACACACACAGAAGCCGTTCTTTTAGACTCCCTTCTCTGGGCACAGAATTGAAAGGAAAGAGAACACTGTACTTCCATTTTGTGCTGTTCCCTGAACCACATGGACACACTTGGGCGCCATTATCAGCAACTGAAATATGCTCCTTAAACATTATTCTAATTATAAGAATTGTGTGGTGATCACATTTCTCAGCAGACTTGGGAAAGAAAGCATTAAATGGGTCTTCTTTGGCTGGCATCACATGTTCATATTTAAGCATAAGCAGATGGAGGCATCCATCATTTAATTATTATTAAAGGAACATGACTGTAAGCCAATTGAAGATATAATAATTATAGTTATTCAACAGAATACGGTGATGATATAATTCTTGAATTTTTTCACTGAAAACTTTCCATACCATCAGAAGTTTGCAAAAGGAGTACCTGTGTTTTTAAGAGCTATCATCAGATTCTCCCTGATCATTTACTGTGTACCTAAAAAAGTCTTTGGAAGTAATTTCACCTAATGCTCCAAACAAAACCATTACATTAATGGACTGCAGGCATTTTTGGAAGTAGCTTGGTAAATGTTTCCAGGTAGTATAGGTGTGTAAGTTTAAATGGCTGTAAAGCATTAGCCTGATGATTTAATACCTCATATGCTGGTCACCAGATACACACTAGGGATTGGTATGACAAAATTTACAGTCCTAATCAGTACCTGTTCAATTCCCAGAGCTATCAGCTGGAAACAGGACCATGTCCCAGGAACTGGGGAGAGCACAATAACTAGGTACACTCTGACCGTACAGAGAAAACGGTCTACTCACGGCTAAAACAAAGTCTCATGTGTTATGAGAGGGCAGAATTTCACTAAAGCCACAGGTAAAAATTCAGTTTCACAGTGGTTATTTCTAAGTATAACTTAATTTTAAAGGTAAATTTGCAAATTTAGAAAAATAAACATTTTAAAGAGCTCTAACTGGCAAAGATTAAACAAAGTATTGATATGCAACTTTGAGGACACAAGTTGGTTTATTATTCTTAGAGCACAGCACAGCTTGCTAGCATGTTTTCAAAGCATTAAAAACATTTATATTCTCCGATATAGAATTTCTACTTCTAGTATGTTTTTGTAGGATGCTCACAGTATTTGTGTAAAGAATACTGCTCACAATATCCTATTATGGCATAATCTATAAAAGGGAAAGTATTTGAAGTGACCTTAAAATTTTCCCTTCTGCATTACTAAAGACTGACCCCTAGAAGTCCTCACACTGAGCTGCATCCCCACCATCTTGTATTTTGAGACAAGGTCTTGCTGAATTGTCCAGGCTAGGCTTGAACTTGCCGCCCTCCTGCCTCAGACTCCCAGAGAGCTAGAATTACAGAAGTGCACTGCCAACTTCACCCTAAATTTTCAATAAGGGGTTAGAGTCTGTGTGTTCAAAACACTATGAAGAACATTATACAGCAGCTGAAAGGCAGGTGAGGATGTAATACCCTGATGTAGTTAGTGGGAATCTATGACCAAAACATTCTGTGAACCATGTATGATGTATGATCCCAGCCAGCCTCATAGGGAAATCTCTCTGTCTATCTGCTTGTCTGTCTGTCTCTCTCTGGAAAAAACAGGCTACATGCCAAAATACGAATAGTATAACAGTAATTCTCTCTGTGCGGTATGGTTCTAGAAAATTTTTTTTAGATCTTATTCTATTTTTATTTTCTGTAACTTTCATAAATCAGGATACAACAATCAAAATCAAAAAAACAAAATTCTCTCAAAACATAATGTGTTTCAGTCAACACTCATTTGCCTTGATATTATTTTTTTTAATTTTAAATAAACTTGTAGCCAAGTGTGGTGATGTACACCTACAATCCCAGCACTTGAACAGTTGAGGCAGGAGGATTGCCATGAGTTTGAGGTTAGTCTGGGCTACACTGTGAGTTTAAGGCCAAACCCTGTCACAAGCAAACAAAACACAAAATAAACAAAATGCCAACAAAACAAAACAACAACCCCCAAAGAAACAATCTTTTAACATATATAAGAACAAAATGCTCACATATTTCTTAGCATTTCTTCCCAATACTAATGTCTTTGTAATATTCTAAATTACCAATGAAGAATTCAGAAAAGTTACAGCACCATCCAAAAGAAAGCATTTTAAGCATATTTTAAATATAAATACATAAGGCAGGCATGGTGGCACATGCCTGTAACCCCAGCATATGGGAGGCTGAGGTAGGAGGGTTGTCATGACTTTGAGGCCAGCCTGGGCTACATAATGAATTTAGGACCAGCCTGAACTTTAGAGTTGAGACTCTGTCTCAAATACATACATACATACATACATACATACATACATACATACATACAAGGGTTTCCTAAAATACTCAGAAATGTTTCTTACTCATCTCTGCAATTTGAATATTCTGTGGATAAATTCCTAAAGAAATCCAAACCCAAGTATACAAATTAATGTACCTTTTCTTTTTCAAAAATGAATCAAACTCATGTCCTAACAAAACACCATACCACCTACAGTGATATCCTCAGCAGTAAGTTAACACATCTTAAAAACTAAAACACATTTCAAAAGATATATCTCAAATTAGATGACACTTCAGAAAAGATTTGGACGTATAACAAGTAAAAGGTTGAACAACAGCCAGGCATAGTGATGTACACCTGCAAGAAAATGGCAAGCTTGAGGTCACCCTGTGCAACTTAGCAAAATCACATCTTAGAAAGGCTCCCTAGGTACAAGTCCCACTACTGAATTTGAAAAAAGAAAAAGTGGGGTAAACCTAAGAGCATATGCTTATGCCCTTCTGAGAAAAAAAAAAGCCTTTTGAGTTTTTTGTATTTTAATGAGCAAAGTACAAAAAGGGACTTGATTTGTAAGAATCAAGCTAATGAATACCTCAAAAGAGAAATACAGGCTGAAGATCAGGTTCTGCAGCAAATGAACGGTCTGCAAATCCGGGCACACATACCTGGCAGAGCGGTGATGAAGTCCCGCTGCAGCATGGGTTTCAGGTAGGAGTTTATGTGCCCATGCTGGTAATGACACATTTGGGATATAAGATGCTCCACGAATTCCACTTGATCAGACTCCGACCACTGCTCAAAATACTTGACACACAGTTCTTTTTCCTTCTCATAGCTTGCTGAGAGTTTCCGTTGCTTGGACACAATCATACTGGAAGTGCCATTGGCAAGTTTTGTCTGCAGAAAGGGTGTGATTAAAAGAAATATAGCCGTTCCTATTGAAAATGAATGAAATTTCATGTATTTATATATATTTCTCTCCCATTCATTCTCACCCCCCTCCATGCTATCCTATGTCTTTACGGTTGAGCTCATAATGTTATTTTGGTAGTACTTGGACATTTGTGAACCACAATTATTTTATGAAAGCCACAGAAATACCAGAGGAAGGTGGCACAATTAGGTATACTGCAAGAAGACCAAACACCCATTTCTAAAAGTTCACAAGACATTATTAGAGATAAAACAAGAAAACCACTTTATATTTAGGGATACCAAAATGAAAAGTGAAAAACACATTTCTAGGAACCAAAAAGTAAATGTGCAGTAGTTACTAAACATTCAGACAATTACTTGCTTTCAATGCTGGGTTTTTTTTTTTTGTTGTTGTTGTTCTGTTTTTTGGTACCGGGGATCGAATTCATGACCTTGCACTTACTAGCCTAGCTGCTGAGCTAAATCCCTAGCCCCCTGCAATGTATTTTTTAAGAGTGAAGTAAGTAGTAGTCTGTGCAAGGAAACAGTATTTTGAGACTGTGCGGTAATGTTGGTGATAAAGCTTCTTCAATAACCCTCATGCTCAGTAAGCTTTTCCTTCCCAAATTCCCTTCTCCACAGTCATCAGAATTAGATACCATAAAGTTTTTTAATTAGTTGATTCATTCAGTAAGTATTTGAGCTATATGCCATACACTATCCTTGGTGGTAAGAATACCATAAAGAACAAACTGACATCATGACCATCCAGCTTAGAAGGCATATTAAAGACAAGTAAACAAATGGAAAATATAAGGTAGACTGACTGTGTCATTAAGAAAATTAAAAGCTGGATAGACGCACAGAAAAAAGTATATGTTACACTGGGGATAGTGGTGCACACCTATAATCCTACCAATCAGGAGGCTGAGGCAGGAGGATCACCACAAATTCAAGGTCAACCTGGACTACACAGTGAGTTCAGGGGCAGCCTCAACTACATAGAAACATGCTACCCTGTCACAAAACAACAACACAAATAAACAAATATGGGGCAAAGGGGATATTATCACGACAGGCAAAATTCTAAGATGACATCCCAACCCAATATTCATGGTCCTGTTATACAGTTCATATACCTTTTCTCCTCACACATTCAAATCTGAGCCATATTGTAATCTTAAGTGGTGGTGTGTTATCTCCAAACACTAGTCTCTTAAGTGGTGGTGGCTTATCTCCAAACACTAGTTGTCTTTCAACCTGAGTAAAAGCTTGCTCTTCTCATCAAGAGTGGAATTTAAGGGCTGTGGGTGTAATTCACAAGTAAAGTGCTTGATTGGCATGTGCAAGAGCCTTGGTTCAATCCCAGTATGGTCCAAAGCAGGGCGGGGGAAGTAGAACTGGGTCCCATTTTTTGAATCTGGGCTTTGACTAGCAGAATATGGGGACAGTTGTATTCTGGAACTTCTAAGCCTGTGCAGCTTCTTCCTAGAGCCTTGAGCTGCCATGTAAGTTTAGGCTACCCTGCCAGAAAGAGAAGTGTGGAGGCTGAGAAGGTGAGCAGAGAGAGTAAGCACGAGAGCGGAAGAAGCAGGCCAGTTCATGGCCACTTCAACTGTTCATTAAAAGAGACAACAGATTTCTGAAGACACAGATTCAGTGTATATTCTGACAGCAAATCTAACAGAGTCTGCTTATAGATTGGATTCTAAGGGTCTGAGGAAAGGAGACAAGGACCATACTCAAGTTTGAAGTGAAGTGGAGGGGGCATTAGGTAAAGATTTAGCAATCAATAGAAACTTCTGCTGAAGCAAACCTGGTTTTCTATGGAGGAAAACCACAAGTCTATACAACTGGGTACTTTCAAAGTAATTTCATGAATCTCTGGCATACCTGCCTAAGGCAACCCCAATGTGGCAAGGAGACCCATGTTACTAAAGAGTTCATACCTGCCTACACAAACTTGAATAGGCCACAAAACAGTACCGAATTTGGATAATATTTGCTATTTGCTATTTAAGACTCTGGCTCACCTTACTTTCTAAATGTTAAGTCCTCTATACTGACCTCTTTATAAATAGCTCTGATACACAAATGAACGTATGTTTTCAAGAATGGAATTAAGCCATTCTGTTTAAAAGGAAAAAGCTGACACTTGTAAACATCAAGCTCTGGTGTGCAGAGTGTTTTTCAGCATAAATGCCATTGCTGTCTTTGATACAGACTGAAAATGATTAATAAGAACCTTGTAAAACACAGGCATCGGGGAACTTTGGGGTTGCTTGTTGCATAGGTTATTTATTTGCATCTCAGCAAAGAAAAAGTCATGAAATGAGGAGTAAGAGTTGGAGTGCTAACAACCACGGGGGTTTATAAACTTAACAAAGGGTACACACATCCTCACAATCAAAACCTCCCACCTTGTCACTGTTTCTCTCTTCTGTCTTCTACAAGGTAGCACCCAGCTTGGGAATACACAGTAACATTTTCTGATTAAAGTCCAGAAACATTAGCAACAGAGAACAATCATCAAGTTAATAAAATGATTCTTTTTCTCTTTTAAACAAGCCATGTATTTTTACAATCGCAAGGAGCTGTGTTTTCATCAGTAGCTATCAGACTGTTAGATAAAACTACCTAAGGACTTAATAAGCCTGGTTATCCTACTGCAGGACCTAACATTCAAAGGAAACAGTCTTATACTTTCAATGATCATACCATAAATGAAACTTAAAAGATCTGGCTATCAGAGATGAATATTAAACTGAGAGTTCATCTATCTGCCAACTGCTCTGTACTGTTCTGGCTGGTAAATAAGATAATTTTCTTGTGTAAAAGACACATACTTCACTTCCATATGAGCTAGTCTTAATTATGACTTCTTATTATATTGTTTAAAAGCTTTGGCCCTGGAGTAAAAAGACTTAGTTTCAAATTCTAGCTCTTCAGTTTATCAGCTGTGTGACATGGAATAAGCAATTTCAACTTTCCATGATGTTTTCCTCAACTGTAAAGGAGGGAATAATCATGGGACTTGAGGTCTAGAGGTGGGGGGTGGCATAGCTCACTGGTACAGCATCTGCCTAGCACATGGGAGGTCTGAGACCCAGCACCATGTGGCAAAAACAAACAAGCCCATGAATAACAGGAACTGTTTCACTCACCAGCTAGCATACAAGATATCAATTTGTTCTTTTCTCCAGTTCCAGCACATCCCACATGGTAAGCAAGCCCTCTACCACTGAGTTACATCCCTAGTCCTAAATCAGCCTTCTTAAATGAACTCATGACACTGCTGGACTTGGCCTTTCACCTGTTCTTTTCCAAATACATCCTTTGTCATTATGAAGTATACACGTATTTTTATTTTCATCCTTCATTATACATAAAAGAGCACAAACTTAAATGTACATCTCCATGAATATTCATGAAATGAACACACCCTTGTAGCCAACACCAAGATCAAGAAATAGGCCATCCCAAGCTTCACAAGCCCCCTCTGTATCCCTTTTCAGGTCCAGCCACCTTCAAAATAATCAATATACTCATTTTACTTTTAAAAAGAGTATTTTTGAAAGCCATCTGTGCCCAAAAAACCCAAAAATTACCACTTAGAATTAAATTTGACAAAATGCATAGTACCTGTAAACCCCAGAACAGTGTGAAGGGAAAGATTTAAATGAATGGAGACAGGTATTAAGTTCATAAATTGGATTCACTATTGTTAGGAGGCTTTTTTCAATTGACCTACAGAGTTACCAGGCCACCAATCAAACTCTCAGAAGGTAAACTGATACACTGATCCTAAAATTTGTATAGAAATGTGAAGGACCTAAATTTAGTTAAATATCTTTAAAAAAAAAAAGACTACTTAATTTCAAGATGTGCTATAATAGTCAAGGCTGCAGCTTCAATGAAAGTGTAGACCAATGGTAGTCAGAGTAGAGTCTAGAAGCAGACTTATGCATGGCTAATTGATGCTTTGTTTTATTTTTTGGTGCTGGGAATTCAACTCACCATCTTGTCAGGCAGGTGTGTACTGCTGAGCTACATCCCTGGCCCAGTTAATTGATTTTTGAGAAAAGTGTTAACATAATTGTTTTGCTTTGTTTTGTGTTTTTTTGAGACAGGGTCTCCTATGTAGTTTAGACTGGCCTTGAGATCATTATGTAGCTCAGGCTGGCCTTGAACTCACAGAGATTTCCTGCCTCAGCTTCCTGAGTGCTGGGATTACAGGTGTGCACCACCGCAATAGGTAGTGCTAGAATTATTAATGGGGTAAAGAGTTTCTTATAAGAGTTTCTTAGGGAAAAAAATGACCTGTTTCTTACTTTATACCACATACCTTTAAAAAAAGACTTAAGAGGACCCTAAACTTATATGCTGGAGGTACAACTATAAAACGTCTGTAAGAAAACAGGAGAAAATCTTGGCATCTTTGGGACAGACAAACATTTCATAGGGCATAAAAGTACATGAGCATTTTTGGGGCAGGGTACTTGGGGATTGAAACCAGCACTTCTGCACTAAGACATATCCCTTGGCCTTTTTATTTTGAGAAAGTGTTTCACTAAGTCACCAAGTTGCCTGGGCTGAGTTCTGAATTTGCCATCTTGTCTTAGCCTCTAGAGTACTGGGATAATGGGGCATGTACCATCTTAGTTGGCTGCAGGCTGGGTTTTTTTGTTTTTGTTTTTGGTACCAGGGATTGAACTCACAATTTTGCATTTGCCAAGCAGTCAAATGCCGCTGAGCTAAACCCCTTGCCCTGCAGGTGTTTTTTAATAAAAGAAGAAAAAAAAAAAAAAAACAAAAAACAAGTGGCATGTGACAAAAAATAAAACTCTTGATTCTCAAAAGTTTTTTAAAGCATAGACTGGGAGAAATGTATTTGATTAAGGACTTATTCTGTATATATCCAGAATATTGAGAATTTTCAGGATTCTATACTAAAAAAATAAATAATCCTTTTAAAAAAATAA